AAACTTAATAAAAATTATATTCGAGCGTGATAAAATTCTAATATTTTCCCTGAAATATTACCAAACGTACTAAATAAGTGCCTTCACTTCATCTTTCATCGACACTAAAGAAAAGTGTTGAAAAAAAGAAAACAAGACAGCTGTATGTATTAGGGCGAAGCTGTGAAAGTTAACACTGACATTTGACGTGTCTAAAGTAGTTTTGGCGAACAAAAAACATGCAAACACTCTAAAAAAAGTTGAGGTAAATTTACCTTAAAAAACACCTCAAATTACCTCAACAGTTAAGTCAAAAAGTGCTTACCTTAGCCTTATTTCAAGCCAACTCAACTGCTACCTAAGATTACCCCAAGTTTGCCTGAAAAAATACCTTAATTAAACAGGTAAGACTACCTTAAGGAATCTAAACTATTACCTTATTTCACCTCAACTTTAAACTAAAACTTTAGGTGAAATTACGTTGAGTTTTATCTGAAGTTACCCCAAGTTTAGCTGAAATATTTACTTTAAGTGTTGTAAATAAATATAAATTGTTTGTAAACAAAATATTTTTCCACTACCAAAATAAACTTTGAGCACTAATCAAAAAATCGATTAGTCTGCATTCAATGTGTATATTTTTTCAGCTGAATTATTTCGCTATATTCGCTACGCCTTAGTTTTCTCTGATTGACCAACCTTGATGAAAAATTAAACGTTAAGAAAAATTTTGGGCAAAAGAAAAAAAACGTGAAAAAAAAGTTAATACATTTATTCAGGTGTTGTATTTTGTTCCTTCTTTTATTAAAAAGTGAGCGTTACAGGTTGTTTACGAAGCAGTTTAGAGTGCTTCTGCTTGGGAGTGGTTTTTCTCCACACAAATATCATGTGTTTAACCAGAATTTTCGCAAAATAGTACGATCTCAAAAAATCGATAGCTTTCAGAGCTCAAAGCTTAAAAGAACATTCTCTTAAGCAACAGTTTTTGAAGTTGTTTCAGAGCTTGATAATTGCCATCTTGGACTAACTAACGAAATTCATATATCAATTTTTAAATTGTAGGCGGCTAAGTATCCATTCCAGGTTGGTATCAAAAATTTTTACAAGGTACAAATTATACTGCTTTGACATTGCTTGCTGGGAAATTTCAGAATCTTGAAAATTGAAACCATTTTGGCTTTTTTAGATCTCCCGAGTTGAGTAAAACAGAGGCTAAGTTTCTATATTAGGCAATGTACTCTGCATAAACTACGTCCCATCAAATAAGAGAAAGAGCAACTCTCGTCTAAAGCTTCAAGAATTGAGTTCTTATAAGAAGCAAGAAGGATTGCAATTGAATTAGAAGCAGGCTAATTGGTTCACTATCTTTCTTTAGTTTTAAATTCCAATCCGTAATTTATTGATCGACTTTGATTATTTTGAATCGACTTTTTGAAAATGAACTTGATGAAATTGTTCATCATTATCTATCTGGTATTATTATGAATAATGTTCAAAATTGGCGAGTGATCTGCATTCATCATCTCTAGAAACTTGCTAGAAACTGCACCTCTTTTCAACTCCTGATCCACTTTCGAGTGATGCCAAGTCATCATACAGTCCCAAGATAGCGACTGAAAAGTCCAGATGAATTTGTTCACGTACAGAGCTGTTCCGTAAAAAGTGTTCACTAATTCTGGTAGAGTTCGTGCACCAACTACGCAGATGTAGTGTCGAATTCTGCCACTAATGCAGCGTGACTTTTTTGAGACCTGCCATTTTTTGTAGCGGGGCTCAAACTGAGTAGCTGGGTGACTCGCGCCCTCATTTATCCAATGAGACCCTGGGAAATGGGTTATGTTGACGTTGTAATGAAGCAGTGCAAAAAAGTGTTCCTCGTTCATAAAGACTTGTTTCTGTAGAATTTTGTGCAGTGTCTCCGCCCAACGGTCTTCGAGGATAAATTTTACGGCGTCGTAAGTGAGTACAACGTGAGTTGAGCTTTTAAACGGGCGCATACCTTTGGGAAGTCTCTTCGGCAATCTCTTATGTTGATCGCCCTCAAGCTCTCCGTAAATTGATGTTGGTTGTTTCATATATCCTAAACATCAATATGTTAACTCTAAAACTAAATGAAACTTTTTTGCAAGGACAATTTTTGGCTATCCGCAATCAGTTTTCAGCAAACAATAATAATTTTTTTTTGGAAATATGAGTGTTAGGAGAAGCAAGACTGCTCTTATATCAACGCAAAGCCCTGAATGTTCCGACGGTGGTAGGCCAATAAGCCGAAGCGCCAACAAACTGAAAATAAGATTACCATTCCAACAAGCCAAAAATAAAATTGTTATGCAACTTAACAGCAGATTGTCATTGTTGTTATGCAATTGTTACGTTATTCTGATGCAAATTCGGCTTCAAGATACGGCGGTTTGTAGACATGGCGGTTTGTTTATTATACGCCGCTCTGACTGTCCATTAATCCATATCGATTGAATTTGATTTCAGGGAGTCGATATCTTCAATGGGGCGTAAAAAATTTCTTAAAAACTATTATTTGGATAGCCGACAATTGACTGAATAAAAAACCTCACCAAGCATAAATACTCCATTTTCTTCAAAAGTCGGATTAGTAAGAAAGCTATATTACTTAACTTTACGATTATTCGTCCATTAGTTTCCCTAAATTAAAGAGGAAAAATTTATCTGCGCTTTTTCACCCCTGTTGTGATCGAGTATAGAAGGCGACAGCGGAATCTTTGAAGAGAGTTCCACAACTAAGATGTCAAAACATGTAACCGTCTCTCCGAAAAGTTCAAAATGGGTTTCTACCGTGGCGGTGCAAACGAGCCACAGTTCTACTGTATCTCTATCATCATAACATCTGCACATGGGGATGATTGACGGGTCCATCAGATTTCTCAGGACGCTCTATGTAAGTGCGCCAGCTTGATTGCGAGCTTCCGTGTTTCAACGTTTCTTGTTTCGTCTTTTGGCAAATATTTGTGAACAGCGAAAACTCAGGGATGGGGGCGCACCTTCTCTAATAATTCTCATGACGCTGAATGCCTTAGATGGGTTTTCACTCAAGGTGACAGCATTTTTGGGGATGTTCGCGAGCCATAGTCTGAGCTGAGATCTATGCATATTCTACGTTCATTCTGAGCTCAACTGTTTCTCAGAATTTACCGCTTATGGATTGCAATAATGACTGGCTGTGCCTTCAATTTGGTCGCGCTCACAATCGCTTCTCAGTTTTTTCAACTCCCTTCCTTTAATCTGCATCTCTATCATCGTTTTTGGGCTCCCCGGGTTGCTTCTAGTGACAGCAACTCCCGCGCACCCATTGCTAGTGCCTGCAACTGCTGATCTGTCATTGTAGATGACGACTTCATACCATAATCCGTGATCAGCTTCTTGAATCCAGGACCTAGGCGGTTGCTCTCCGACTAGTCTCGTCTGTTCTCTCCAGTCGCAGAAAGTTCATTTTGAATCAGGGCTGCAAGCCGAGGTGCTCAGTTTTCCGACTGAAGTTGAAGGCCCAATATTCACAGTTTATTCGTCGATGGTGATTCATGGCATCCACTTGGCGTCTTATGACTCAGCCGCAAAAAAACGTCCACTCTGTCTTGTTCGTCTCGTTGTTTTTAGCTATCTTCTTTTTGCGTCCCCAGTCAGCAATATTCTGCACTGCTACTTGTGCTCTCTTAATAACCATCTCCAGGGTGTTGTCCGACAACCCAGATTGACATGCAAAAATACTTCTACAGGAATCTGCAGGGACAACGTCAAAGAGCGGGTGTCTCGTTGTGAAGATACTAATGCAATTTTATGACCGGACAGTGAAGCGGGCGTAAGATCACCACCCTTTTGAAAGAGAGTTGGAGAACTTAGCGACTTCATCCCTGCTCCTCGAAAGTTTGAATTTTTACAATTTGTTTTTGATTATTTGATTTGTCAGTTATGAATCATAATGTTTAGCAAAGTGGTGGAGTTAAATTTGAGTAAAATGGGTCTGAAAAATTTGAAGTAGACAAATTTTTATCATACATTGTAAGACAGAAACTGGTACTTGTAACATAAAAACCTACTTGTTTTTAAACTGAACACAAAGTAAACAGCATTAGGGAAGCCCTTAGCTCAGCAAAACTATTCTTTACCTAGGAGATTTGACCCATTCAGCTTTTTGAGTATGGTGACCAACTCTAGGTTGGTTACTAGAGGAAACTCCTCCCCTGTCAAGTTGATGAGGTACTTCCACTTGTTGGAGCGTCTCCGCAGTTCTTGCATGCAGGCTAACTCGGAGAGAAGAAGAGTCGGCCGTGCCCAGGCTGTATTGACGGGGTTGGGCGCGAGAAAAACGTTGTCTCCGAAACAGCTGACTAGCGCCTCCATCTTAAACATGTAACAATTCGACTCTTCTCTTAGCCCCCTCCCCTCACGAAGACAAGCGCTACCTTTGTCACGTAACAAGTGGTAAAACCAGGTTACAATTGAAGTATCTTTGGAATACCTTAATTAGTATGCCAATGTTACAATTATCGGACCTGGTGAAACAATTTTACTAGTAAGAACTTGCCATTGGGAAGGGAAAAGCTAAATAACTTACATTAAAAAAATTTTGTCGAACATTGAGGCAATGCATCGTTTCAAGCTAGAATTAATAAAACATTAGACTCGGTAGCAAATCGCGGTTCCAAATTCAACTTAATTCATGATTAAAAATTCTTGAAGCTTTGGCATTGGCATATTTGTTTTAACCTTGTAAATAACACAGTGTTCTGGCAACAGCTATCTTTGGCGAGAGTAATGAAAAACATGAATTTCAAATATTTTAATCACAACTCGCAATACTCCTTTGAATCAACCTTTAAAATGAATTCCAGCGACATTTGCACGAAAGTTTATTTTAGTCAAGGTAGCTGAAAACTCGGACCGCTTTTCTGAGTTTGTTGATTTTTTAAGGCCTAATAACCAAGAAAAAAAACGAGTTTGAGAAAGGAAATTAGTTTGAAAAGTAACTTTAAGACCAATATTAATCTAAAATTTGGTCTCAACCTTTTTGCGACTTTTTGCAAAATGTGAAATTAGGCTTAACCTCCTACGGTGCTTTTTTGTGGATGTCAAAATCCTAAGGAAAAAAAAACACCCCACGGTTTAGTTATTTTGCCCTTTGTGAAGTGGCCGGATCAAAAGCCAGAAAACTTAGGAAGTTAGTACCTATTGGTAGCGTAGATTTTCAACAAACTACTGTAAAATTATATTAGAATAAGCTGCTGAAAACGTTCTTATTTATTAAACTTTTTTATTCTAAACGATTTCAAGTTGCAAACTGTCAATTTATTGAGATACAAAGATTAAGAAATTGTGATCTTTTTGACCTGAACACGCCAAAAAGAACGATACTTTTTAAGAACTAGAAGCCTGTATAGAAATTCGGGTTTGATTGTCCTGTATCAAGGTTATAGAATTGACGTTTCAATCATCAAAATTATCAGAGAAGGAGAGTATCAGAACATGTGTTAGCTAAATAAATATTGAAGACGACTAGCGGGCACAGAGGTGTTCAAATTTTTAGAACAAAATATATCAGCTTCAGAAGGCATGTATATTAGGAGGATCTTCATCCAGCTGCTCATGGCGTATGCTTTCCACAACATGTGATAAAACATGAACGATCGATTTTAAACTTCCAACAGAAAACTTTGGTTCATCCAAGCTCACATTAGAGCTGGCAGCGTGTTTTTTAATATAAGTTAAAAAACGCGTCAGTCCCAGCTCACATTAGAGCTGAGAATTTTACAATAAGGGAAACAAAGGGAAATGAAATGTTCTCGAAAATGCAAACTCGCTTCAGAGATAAGGATTTAATCTTCGCAGAAGAAACGCTTGCCAACTCACTTCAGAGTTGGGGCTAATTCTCAAACAGTCTGAGAAAAGAAGTATTCTCAGAGAAACCATCGGAAAACTTTTGAGTATCGAGAAAAGATGACAGAGCAGACCAGATGGTGATAATGATGAAATGTAAATGGTTCTTGAATTTTTTATATAGGTTGTAAATGAAGTTAAACTTAAATCTTTCATTCATCACAAACATAGCACTAGATGTTGACTTGTTTTTAGCTTTTTTAAAGTTGGCGCTTTCAAATAGCTGAATCAAGGGTCGAGCGGTTTATCCTATGCAGTTCGATTTCATAATCATATCTCGTTTCTGCCTTTGGAAATGCAATTTTTGATAACTGAAAAAGATGGAAATATTTTTTCGAGGTCTCTTCAATTGCAATCGGACTTCAATCATAAGAGTCGTTATCGGTTCTACTAAAAGAGCTAACCTGTTCTTTGAATAAGCTGTCTGCACTGGTGTCGACGTGGAAGCAGTACAAGTTGTGACTTCTGTAGATGCTGCTCAACAGTTGTTCCACCTGGTCGAAGTAGCGATACACTATCAGACTGAACGCCACTGGAAAATCAGCCTCTTCTTCTGATCAACCATCAGCCGACAGGGATGCAAAAATGATTGCTACCATTTAAAAGGCAAACGCTTGTAATGAGCATTTCAAGCATATAATATTGTTGAATTAGAGAAATGTATAGTAAAGACAGAATAGTTGTTTAACTTTAATTGCCAAGCAACTGTAAGGCATCAAATCTAAATCTTACAGCAGCTTAGTTTTAGCTCGTACCGGACGATAGAGATCGCAAGGTCACGACAGCAGGTCCGCAGACAGAAAGAAACAAACTCATATAACTTACATAACTCAAACTGGTCCCTATCTCATTCGGGCAACCAGTTTCAACTTGAGTTTTTAGGCATGCTTGCCAAACCTCTCCCTAAGTTTTTCTCTCATTTGTGTTCGATCCGGTGAATCATCACTCCACCCATTTTGTCGACTCCTCTCCGTTGTCGCGTCGATCTGCGCGTTGCCTCCTTACCCAGCTTCCTTTTAATACCGACGATTTTCGGTGTTTGTTCTTTATCCGTTCCCGACGGTTCGTTCGCTCCGCTCGCTGCAGTTTTCTCGGCTTCGCCCTCGCGCCCCACGACTGCCCATTCGCTCTCCTCATCTTTGTCACTTTCAACTTCGCTGTACTCGACTATTCGATTTTTCTTCGTTTTTCAAGCTCCTTCCATTTCTAATTGGTCCCCTTTCGACTTTTCCGCTTGCCTCTTATGCTCCGTTAGGCTTGCCTGGACCCGGGGTGGTAGCGTCGATCCCCTTCTCAATTCGGTTTTCTTCAGCCGCCGATCTAAATGAAACACCACTTCGCTTAGTATCGATCCTTTTTCATTTGCACCGTGTGTTTTGTCAATTTTTCAATTTTTGATGGTACACGAGATTGCTATGTTTCTCCCAATCGATTTTTAGTTCCACATCGGGTAGACCACTCGCGTTGTCTAAACAAGATAATTTCTGGTTAATGACATTTTTCCAATTTAGGTTTCTCAATGATGGCTTTTTTGTCAAACTTCGAAGGGTCGTATTTGCTTCTCTTCCATGATAGGCCTCGAATGGCGTTAGCATAGTTTTAGAGTGCGGCACAAATCTTAAAGCGCTCAGGGTACGGGATATCATCAATCCAAATTTATAATCTTTATTTTCCTGGAGATAAGTTAGAACGTAGTTTTTTATCGAGCCAATTGTCCTTTCGACCATCCCCGCAGCACGGTGGTCCTTAACCGGAGATTTTGTAAGTTCAATACCCTCATAATTACAGAAGTTTTTTATCTCATTCGAGAAGAACCCAGTTGCCTGATCCATATGTAATTCCCTTGGGTGCCCATGTGTATTTAAGTATTTCCTTTGGAATTTTAATACGTTTTTAGACTTGTTACTGGTGCAGACATAAGCCGACGGCTAAAGTGAAAACGTATCAACTGCTAGTAGAACATGTTTATTCCCACCCCGTACATAATTTACCGGACCCCAGAAATCTAATTGAACCAAATCGTTAGGTTCCCTGGGTACATATGTGTCCCCCATATCTTTTTTTGGAATGTCCGGCTTAAGATTTTTACCTGCTTCTAGGCAGCGTTTACAATATTTGGCTGTGGCCGCAAGGTTCCTATGCATGAGCGGTATCCAGACGTCCTTCGCCGCCGCAAACATTTTATCCCGCCCATGGTGGTTGTGATGCAATCGGTTTAACACTGCTGACGACATATCCTTCGGTATGACCAGTCGGCCATCCATCCACAAGCAGTATTCGCGCACAGCAAAATCGTTGAAATGTTGAGAGTAGTATTGCCCCAATCTAGTAATGATGTCCTTGGCCCGTGGGTCCTTATCTCGGATCGCGTCGCGGACCGTTTTTAATATCAGGTCCTTTTCCAAGTTGGCTTCAACTAATTTCAAATTCAGAATCTCAGGATAATCATTTTTCTTAACTACTCGACTATCAGTAGGCACTATTGAATAAATCCATTTATCACTTTGCACAATGGGATAAGATAATCCGGGGAACTGATGAAGAAATGAAATAACGGTGTTTAACTTTTTCGAATTAGTCGTTTTCGGAATAACTTTATCTGGCGGTATTACTTCTATATCAGAATCAGAACTTAAACTCGGCGGCTGGTTAACTCTATTTAAAAGTACATTGAGGTTTACATTTCCGGAGTGAGTGGAGGTATTGACAATAGCGCAAGGTGTTTTCGGATCGCTTTTCCCGAGTGAATTCATCGATGACATATTTTTCGTAATTTTTTCTGTAAGATAACAACTTGATTTTACGTACTGAGAACAACGTCTGATTTTCTTTATTCGGAATTTGCATATTTCCGCCAGTATGCAAATATCTCGATTCTGATCGGCTAGCCGTCGGTTGCATATAACCACGTCCTCTAGTGAGCGCGTGTGCTCAAGGTGAATATTTGCATAATCTGCTTTTCTTTTAATTTCATGGGATACAAGTTTTCTCTTTGAGTAGAAACATGACCGTCCGCCCTCTAACGTCGAATTTTGCCTAATTTGATTACTTTTTTGACCCCCAGGCTTTAACTGGTCCTTAGGTTTCAATGCATCGTTTATCATTTTTTTTCGCTACTGTAAAACTTTCATTGTAATGACTTGTCTCGGGCGCCGCTGCAGATGGAAACCGAGACAAATAGTCTGCCATTCCTTTTTACGACCCCTGCCTATGTTCAACATTGAAATCATATGGTACTAAGCGATCGTATCATCGAGTTAACCGACAAAAGAATGTTTTATTTCCTTTTGGGAAGAATTTAATAATGTAAGCAACGCCTTGTGATCTGATATAACTGTTAAATAACGTCCATAAATATAGTTTCGAAAATGTTCCGTAGCCCAAACTAGCGCGAGTAATTCTAATTCGTTTGCAGAATACGTTTTCTCGGCCATATTAAGATACTGTGACGCAAACTAAATTGGATGCCAACCGGAGGGGATGTACTGTTCTAACACGGCCCCTATGCCATCGTGACTAGCATCACCAATTATCCTAGTTTCACGGTGAATATCGAAATGTCTAAGTTCTACAATGTTTTTCACTAGATATTTCAATTGTTGAAACGCATTCTCGCAATTCGGCGTCCAGACAAACTCGTTGTTCTGACTGAGTAATGGTCTTAATGGTGCGCTAACTTCAGCGAGTTTTGGCAAACATTTATGCAAACTGTGCATCACACCCATTAAAGATTTAAATTGCTTTCTCGATTTTGGGGTTTTCAAATCTTCTACCGCTTGAGTTTTCCGGACTAATGCGCGATGCCACTTTCCTTAATTCGAAACCCTAACCATTCACATTCGGTTTTTGCAAATTCGCATTTCCGTAGTTTCAAAGAAACGTTTGATACGTCCAACTTCTTCAAGATTTTTTTCACTAATGCAATTTGCTCTACTCTTGTTCCCTTGGACGCAATTAAGGTATCGTCGATGAAGGCATTTGCCCGAGGAAATTCCTTAAGTAAATTATCAAAGACTTTTGAAACTCTGCCGGCATTGATGTGAGCCTGTAAAAACCGTTTTTAAAACGATATGTTCCCGTCGATTTTCCGCCGACTAGTGAAAAATTGCATTGCTCGCTAGTCTTTTGTTCCAAGGATACTTGTCCGTATGCGTAAGTGAAATCCAATGTTGTAAAATGTACATCCCGGCTTTTCGTTCTGCAATTATTTGACTTATCCCGTCTACTAATTCGTCAATGTTTGGCATTTGGTACTTAATCTTGTGTACCTGTTTGTTCAATTCTCTTGATTCCAATGCCAATTTTATACTTCCATTTTTTTTAACTGTGATTACTATAGGAGAGACAAAGTACTTATCCGAACATTCTTGTAATTTAATGGTATGACCTTCTTTGATCAACCGATCAATTTCCTTGTCTACTTTATCCTGTAGACTGATAGGCACCCGAAGCCCTTTTTGTTGTATCGGCTTTAGATTTTCAAAGAAATCGGCTCTTACTTTAGCGTTTCGGATTTTCCCTTTTCTGGTAAATAAATTTGGGTACAATTTACAGAAATATGTTTGTAATTCATCATATTCCTCCTCTTCCTGACTGCTCCCTTCATCGTGATTCCCATCACTTTCTTTCTTTGCACTAACTCCAGGCCTAGGGTTCCCATCAGATCGCGCCCAAGTATTCACTGATGATTTCCTGATATTACTGACACTTGCGCTGGAGCTGTTCAGCCGTTCAACACCATCGTCACAGCTATTTTCCCAAGTATGTGTATTCGGTTGTTATTGTAGTCCAGAAACTCATCTTGAGATAGTTGTAACTGAATATTAGTTTTACCTAATGTTGCTTTCAGCTCCGTCATGCTAAAAATCGTCACTGGAGATCCGCTATCCACCCACAGCCACATCTTCTTTACCGACACCTAAACCTGGACTCTGGCTCCTGGGATCTTCAGTTCCATCACGTCCTTTTTCTTGATCGACATCACCATGTAGTCATTGGATCCTGACGTCGTGGATTCATTCTCCCCGCCATAGGACAACTCGCAATATGATCGAGAGTAAAATTCGGCGCGTCACAATTATAACACCTACGGTTATTTCCGCCACCCCCACTGCTTGATCTTTGGGTATATCCTCCGCGTCCCCCGCGTGCTCGACCTCTGAAATACCCCTGTCCCCTTCTGATACTTTTAACTGGCTCCTGTTTTATGGTTATCGGCGGCGCGGACGAGGCCGGTTTTCCGGTGTAGGATTTATATGCACGTTCACCTCTCTCATACGACAGTGCTATCCTATTAACCTCCTCTGGTAACTTTGTTGACCGTGATAGTTCTCTTTGGCAATCAGATTCCCGCATGTTCATAATAAAAAAATCACTAACATTTCCGGCCGCATTAGCAAAATCACACCTGCCCACAAAAGCGCTTGATTGCGCGTGGAATTTCCCAAACGTTTCATTCTCCCTCTGCTTTTTTCCATAAAAGAGACCCCTCTCATGTGTCACATTTCGCTCGCCTTTGAAGACATTTTGCATTTCGTCCAATACCCGTGGGCGAACTGGGTTTCCGTTTTAACATTTACGGCCGGTTTTCGGGCTTTAGTTATCCCTTGCGCTTCGTCTCCAATACAGAGATATAGGCTAGACTTCAACTTCTTCTCCGCCTCGATACGATTTTTCCCAATTAAATCCTCTGCTAACGCTGCAATGGCCGCTGCATTTAACGTACGAGCAAAATAAAAATCATCAGGGTCAATGTCATATTTTGCTATCATGCTCCAGTGGAGTTTTATGATCCACTCCTCCCAGCAGATTGGGGGTTCCGTCGTCCGTGCGTCCCAGAAAGATAGTATATTAAGCGGCTTTTCCCTCTCCTTTTCCTTCCGCTGGCTGCGCCATGTTGAGGTAGTGTATTGTATAGTATAGAAAGAATAGTTGTTCAACTTAAATTGCAAAGCAACTGTAAGGCATCAAATCTAAATCTTACTGCAGCTTTCTGTTTCAGCTCGTACCGGACGATAGAGATCGCAAGGTCACGACAGCAGGTCTCGTGACAGAAAGAAACAAACTCATATAACTTACATAAACTCAAACTGGTCCCTATCTCAAAATTAAATATGATCATTTATAAAGCCTATATTACCAATTTTTTTGCAGTTTTAATAATTTAAAATCAAAAAATGGTTCATGGTCATTTCTGTTTCATGCCAGAAAATAAGCATCTTCGAAATTAATTTTGAGCAAAATTCAGAAACAAACCTAAACCTTCATGTTCAATCAATGATAGTAAAATTTTTTTACTCAAAAACAATCAAAGTTTTATACTCATATGCGTTTTTCATGAAATTATTGAACTCATGGGTTTTTTGTTTATGCCATAGGTTTCGAGTACAAAGTCAGTGCTCAACCCAAAATCCATAGTAGAGAGAGAGAGAGGATAAGGTCCAACACCAAGTATTGAAACATACCCGAAATCATTGTTAAGATTGAAAAATATAGGGGACTTCCATTGCAAAAATCCGACCATAAAGCGAGCAGATCCACCCTGTTTGCCCTGAATTATGTGATCTTAACTTCACAACCCTGTTATTGGATCTATTTGATAGAAAGATGCCCTTTGTGTCCAAAATGACATGCAGCTGGGAAATGTGTCTTTGAATTGTCGCTTCAGGTCAAATGTGTGAGCTGTCATCCTGGCCGTGAGGGAGATGTCCAACAGACTATGGCTCGCACTCAAAAGTTTGTCGCAAATAGGTTGCAGAGCTATCATGGGATTTTGGGCTGAGTTTTTGATCCTGCTTAAATTGAAATGGATCGTTTCGAATTCAAATGTAGCGATCTGAATTTTTTTTCCTACCACCATTGGTTTTACAGTACTCAGCTTTTAGTGACTTAATTTGAATTTAATTGTAAGAAAAAAGCAAAAAAAAACCTTGTTTAAAAAAAAAATCAGCCATGATTTACACGATATACAAAGCCCATTGAAATCATTAAAAGTTAGGCAATGTTGTAATATACATAAAATCAATGTTTTTTAAAACAAATTTCAGATTTTGTTTGAAAGTTTGATTATACAAAGATTAATTTAAAAAGCGTTTCCTTTTTTCCATACTAAGTTTTGTATTTCTATGGTGGAAGGTTGGAACGAGTCTTTGACCTTGCTGATAGAGGGCTGTGTAGTGAATAAAAGGTTACAGTAAAAGAAGATCACTGTTCCAAGGATTAAAAAGAGACAACGTTTTCTCAATAACTTCCGCATCGCAAAATTTAACGGAAGGTGAGAATTTCCACATACACTAGTGGAAAAAATTAAGCGCAAATTCAGTATTTTACTTTGTAAAACGCCTGTTTTCAGTGTACATTTTTGACAACCACTTCCTTCGAAAAACAGTAAAACTTTTACATTGATCGAGAGCAAATGATCAAAGTTACCATCTGTGAAAGTATCAGTATTTGGTTTTAATGACTTACCAAAATAATCCGGGTCTGAAAAGGTCAGTTTTCCTCATCTGCGCTTAATTTTTTACTTCGCGTGAATAAGTTACAAACGTCTGAGTTTAGTTAAAAAAATTGTTTCCATTTTCTCGCTGAGAATGTTTCACGTTCCATGAACAAATTTTGTACTCCGCTTATTCAAATAAGATTTCACTACAATGCAAAACTTAGTATTGATGAGGAAAGTTGGCATTTTCAGACCCGGATTACATTGATAAGTCATTAAAACCAAATATTGATACTTTCACAGATGGTAACTCTGATCATTTGCTCTCGATCAAAGTAAAAGTTTTACTGGATTTCGAAGGAAATATTGTCCAAAATGTGCATTTAAAATAGACATTTTACAGAGTAAAATCTTTAACTTGCGCTTAATTTTGTCTACTAGAGTATATTATGATCGGTTTGACTTTGGATTCGTTTTGCGTTAGGATCGGAAAGTTGACTTTCCATGGTTGAGTTTGACTTTTGATTAAACAAATTAGAGTATACCACATAAAATTGGTGCCTTTTGACTCAAGAATACCTTCAAGCGTTACGTAACTGCGTTTGGCAACAAAAAGTAGTTAAAATTACGCAATAAACGCACGGAACTCTCAAGCAATTGTCCCGTAAAACAAAAAGGCACGAAATTTTCGAAAAAGTAAAAGTGATCAGAGTAAACGCAAACTCAGTCCCCCATGACTTCAGAATAAAGATCGCAGGGGATTTTTTTTGAGCTTTGGGCATCAGTTGATTTCACATAGTATGGAAAAAATTGTCCAAAGATGGCTAACAAGACTGCTCGTATCAGGGCGAAGCCCTGAAAGTTCCGACTGCCTTTTAAGGTCTATGGAGCATTAATAAGATGAAAAATTTCAAAGTAATAAAAAAATAAAAATAATTTTTTTTGAAAAAATTTGAGATTTTATGTAAAAACATCCCCCCACACGTCATAATAAATACAAAGTGATAGATTTTGCGCCTATTAACAAATCAATTATGGCATATAAGCTTCCTTGACCAATTTGGAACGATTTCCAAGACGGATTAAAGCTCCGCTTACGCGTTAATAGCGCGAAATATATCGCGCGTTAATTGTCCCAAATTGGCCAAAATGGCAATCTTTAAACCCCCACAACTTTACCAAAAATGATCACAGGTGAAATATCTTTTCAAATTCCAGCTCAGGACAACAATAGCTTTCGAATAATATAAAAAAAATTGCGTCAAAAACCGCTAGTTAAAAAGTCGAAATTTGTCAGAAGAAAAAAAAACCCACCCCGAGCACAAATATTCCGTTACTTTCGTATCGAAAGTCGGAACAATAAAAGTCATAGGATCAATTGAGCAATCTCCCCCCCCCCCCGTAATGACCAATTGAGCTATCTCCCCCAGCAAAAACGAATAAACTCTTCAAAAAGACGTCAGCAAACGAAAGTAGATGGCTGTTCTGTTTATAGCACGCAATCATTTGACCGACTGAAGTTTTTTTTATATGAGTATCGTGAAAAATTTTGAAAAAAAACTCGAAATTTACGATTTTTTTTGCAAATTTCTGTATAGGCGACCATAACCTCATCGAGGAAAGCGATTTACCAGGGTTGGTGCTCTAGCCTTGTATCTGAATAGCAAAAACGGTTCTCCGCAGCATCTTAATATTGTACGCAAAAGCTTTTTGTCATTTTAAGAAAGAAAAAAGTCGCTTTTTATGCCTGATTTATTGATTCTTTTTTCTATTTGAATGAAACTTTTGAGCTTTGACATTGTAAATTTTGGCTTTCCATAGTCGTTGGAGAATATGGTTATGATTTCATGTCATTCAAACTATTTTCAAGTGGTTATAAACATGTCTCAAGTACCTATTGAGCTCAATTGATCCAAGTCATATTTTGTCTGGAGAAAAAATCACCCGAGCACAAATATTCCAGCACTCTGCAAGCATCGGAATAAAGTCAATTCATCTGTGATAAATTTTGGTTAAATTGTGGAGTTTTATGCAGGCGATGATATGCGATTGAAAACTAACTCCATCGAGATACTTTCATCACAGGTGGTACGTGCAAACTAGGCATTGTGCGTGAGTAGAAAAAAAGTTCTATGTTTTTAATTTGATATTTCAAAGAAATAGATTCAAGCATGTCAATCAAAAGTTGACACAATCCGACTATCACCCTCAAAAAAACTGGTCTGGCTTGAGTTCCATTATATGTCTACCTCTAAAATTATGTAACAAAAGTATTTTGAAGCAGTTATAAACTGAAAGTTTTCAATAATTTAGCTTAATACTGTTTAACTTTTTTTAACGAGACGGAAAAATTGATAATCTGCTTGTCTTATAGCAAGTTCTGAGAGCAATTTTGTCTTTTTGAAACTAAATCTGAAAAAAATCTAAAAATAAACTTAACTGGGCTTCACTTAAGCAAAGTTAGAAAGACAGGGCAACCTCAAATCAAAATTTCAATATATAACGTGGATGCACAACAATCTGCTCAAAGGTTTGCAAGAAAAATACATCCAACTGAGGCAAAGTGAATCCACACAGCGCGTGGCTAAATTCTTAAATCTTGTCCCTTTTCAATTTTATAGACTGATTGAATCCCCTAATCAAGCCGGCTGTTCTTCTGTTTTCCATTTCTAATCACTCTACCAACATTCACCGTTGTCGAAAGATCTACAATACATGAAATTATCTGTTTATTCAGAAAAAAGCGCTAAGTCAGGAATTTATGTTCACTAATTGAAAAACAAAGAGGGCCGTATTTGAAAATATGAACGAACGGTCATACTTATATTGAATTGCACCCCATATATACTGTTTCGAGCTTTTCCAAGCATTTCCTTTTATCTGCAGAACACAACTCTCAATCACTATTTAAAAGCATTTGTTTGAAGAAAAAAAAACGAAAGGATTGCCCTGCATCACGAACGAACACACACCGAATATAAGTCGAATGAATTTGACGAAAATGGCATTCGTTCAAAAGTATTACTCGGGAACCCTTTATGTTCAAACGGATGCTCGCCATGGACACTGGCATAACTTTTAGATTATGTACTTTAAAACAAATACCTGCGTCCCGAGGAAAAATTTCTTCAAAATTTTCTTTTTTTTCCGATTCTGTTTTGATTTTTAGCTGCAAACAGAGTGTTTTAGCTGCAGACGCAAATAGAACTTTTAAATGGTTATTTGAGGAGGTAGAGTAAAATATCACTAAGCCTTTTTGTTTTTCAAAGGTCGCGAAATATTAATTCAAACAACTTATATTTTTGTCAAAAAGCATTTGCTTTCCAGGCTAATTTACCATTAGAATAACAGAAGACTACTTAGAAAAAAGTGTATGAATGAGTTAATTTGTTATTTATTCGATCAATTTTGCTACCAACGAATTAATTATTTCTGGTGTTTAAGTTGTTTTTCAGTCCGCGAAAACTTAGTTTTACTCCCATAAATTGGTTTTTATTTTATCTAGCGGCTTCTAGGAAAATAATTTTTTTAAAACGCCGTACAAAATTTCTGCTGACAATATAAAATATATCGCAATAAACCAATTTACTATGGTCATTGAATATGTATAAAATCAAAAAACTTTTGCCAAGTTTTTGATGATTAGGGTTAGAAAATTCGGTGCTACTTGCACAGCAACCGGCTATCCTTGTTTCACTTCATAACTGGATCGCTGAAAAACGAGTAAACTCAAGATACTCCGTTAAAAATAGACAATTGCAGCGCAAGTAGCACACAATGTAGCCTTCAATTATGATCGCCAGTAGGTTGAAAAAAAAAACGAAAAGAACAATGAAAGATCTTCTTTGTTGATTCGACTTGGGACGTAAAAAAACACTCCTTAAGCGCTTCGATTATACACTCAATACCTTAAGAATTTCCTTTCAAATTTATTTTGCAAGAAGGAGCAAAGGTCACAAACTATACGCATCATTATTGTTCCGACTTTCGATACGAAAGTAACGGAATATTTGTGCTCGGTGTGGGTTTTTTTTCTTCAGACAAATTTCAATTTTTTAACTAGCCATTTTTGACGGAATTTTTACATCATTCGAAAGGTATTGTTGTCCGGAGCTCAAATTTGAAAAGATATTTCACATGTGATCATTTTTCGTAAAGTTACGGGGGTTTAAAGATTGCCATTTTGGCCAATTTGGGATAGTTAACGCGCGATATATTTCGCGCTATTAACGCGTAAGCGGAGAGTTAATCCGTCAAAGAATTCGTTCCAAATTGTTTAAAAGAAGCTTATGTGCCATAATTGGTTTGTTGCAAGGAGCGAAATCTATCCTTTTGTACTTTGTATGGCGTGTGGGGGGATGATTTTCATAAAAAATTTCAAATTTTAGAAATTTTTTTTTGATTTTGTTTTATTTCATTGAATTTTTAAATGTTTTTACTGCTCCATAAACCTTAAAAGGCAGTCGGAACATTCAAGGCTTCGCCCTGATACGAGCAGTCTTGTTATACTTTGCTCTATCACATTAGACAATAAAGAAAGGCTAGCTGTACTTCATTTAATTTGCGGGAAAAACACTCAATGAACTTATTGTAATCATCTTAAGTAGCTTCTAAATAGAACAAGACTGCTCGTATCAGGGCAAAGCCCTGAATGTTCTGACTGCCTTTTCAGGTTTATCGAGCAGTAGTAACATAAAAAAATTAAATATAAGAAAAAAAATGAAAATTTTTTTTTTCTAAAATTTGAAATTTTTTTATGAAATCATCCCCCCACACGCCATATTAAGTTTGAAAGAATAGATTTCGCTCATTGTAACAAAACAATTAGGGCAAATAAGCTTCTTTCAACCAATTTGGAACAATTTCAAAACTGATTAAATCTCCGCTTACGCGTTAATAGCGCGAAATATATCGCGCGTTAATTGTCCCAATTTAGCCAAAATGGCAATCTTTAAACCCCCATAACTTTACGAAAAATGATCACAGGTGAAATATACTTTCAAAATTAAGTTCAGGACAACAATATCTTTTGAATGATAAAAAAAAATTCCGTTAAAAATGGCTAGTTAAAAAGTCGAAATTTGTCTGAAGAAAAAAAAACCCACCCCGAGCACAAATATTCCGTCACTTTCGTATCGAAAGTCGGAACAATAAGCTATTGAAACCTTTTCCACATGAGATAAATTGTCATACATTTCAAGCCAATGGTCACGCCAACGAATAAAACAGTTGGAATGATCATTATAATTCAAAACAAAATTTTTAAGTGACTATTTGAGAAAAATTCAATATTTCTTTCCCACTACGTGAGTGATCGATAAACCGAACGACCTCAATGCCTGACAAGTAGCACAGAAAACGTTTTTCGAAATCATAAATTATCCATTAAAATGTTAGTCTGCAGTATTAGAAGATAGACTTAGCTTCAATTTAAGAGTGCTCTAATAATTAAAAAGCATTAAACTGTTCTGTGTTCTGAACAAGTGTTCCAATACTCTTCGGTTTGCATTTGAAGAAGTCTAGAGAGAGTTCTCTGAGAGGCGAACTTTTCGTCTTCGCCTGTGAATATACTGGTGTTCTCTATTTTCTCTCCAGGCTGTGTATGTATGGAGTCGAGAGTCTCCAGTCTTGTCATGTCCAGGTCTGATTGATCTGATGACATACATCCGGCAAATATTTCTTCCACTGTCCCGCTGCCAGATGAAATAAGTCGCACCTGAAAGCAGGTATATAAATATATAAATAGCTGTTTTCCAAAAAAAGTTCGCTTATCTAGTCAATAAACAAAAATACACTTTTGCTAAAAAAATAAAAAGGAAATTATACAAACTGAAAGTTGATTTTAGAAAGATAAAATTACGGAGCTATTTGTGAAGTGGAACCATTTCTTTGAAATCTCCATTTTTGAACTTGTACAAAAAAAATTGAATTTCAAGAAAAAATCAGAACTGACCGGGAATGAACAAATTTTAAGAATTTTTCATGAAAAAAATCTCCAACGCCTATAAAAAAAGTACTCACTAGGCTCATTACTTTTAATAAATTGATATCACTACATCGTTCGTGAAGTATTACCTTGGTATCGTAGAAGGCATCTATGAGTGTAATGAAGCGTCTGGCTTCGGTCTTCTTGAATGCAGTGAGCAAAGGGATGTTTCTCAGAATTACAGTGTGAAACTGTTTGCACAGGGCCAGATAGTCAGCAGCTCCCAGCGGCTAAATCAAATCTAATTGTTTTATCACTCAATGTCGTTACCAGAGAACAAAAAACAATTAATAATCACATAGTCGCAAAGCAAGCTTTGAGATCCTTTTAAACTTTGATGATGATGCTTCTATCAATACTCTTTTTTTGACCTGCAGCTAGAAGAAGAGATTATGTACCCTTTTAAACAGAGGCGAAGCTGAGATTCGCACCACTTGCGATACATCACAAACAGCATGGCAAGCTATGAGAAAAAATGATACTAAATGATACAGATGCTTAAAAAATGTAATATAACAAGGAAACCAAAAACATGGATTAAAAAATTTAGAACACATGTTTATTTTTGTCAGCTAGAAACTCATAAAGTTGAATTCAATTTTTGAAACTGAGTTTATTCACGTTCTTCGTAATTTTTAATCTTTTGTTGATTGAAATTGCAATTTGCCTGCCTTTTATAAAACATCGCCAGCTGAAAAAGAGCAGATGAACGCAATTAAACTCATCTTTCGAATTTCAAAGAAAAAAAGATGCCCTTAAAGCTCTTAGAATTTCTAGAACATGATTTTATTCTTATGAGGGGCCCATTTTCGATAAAATTAGCCCAGTTTGATAAAACTGGATCAATAGGTAATTTTTTCATTCTTCTATTCTGCTGGGAAATCTGAAAATTAAATTCCACTTTCGAAATTAGCAGTCGATCACGTTTTTCGCGACCTTTACACTTTTGCTGTTCGAAAGTGGACTTTGCTTTCCTTTAAAAAATGAAATGAACCAACTTAAAAGGAAATCATAAGTCAAACCGCGAAAAAGTAAATTTGAGCCTGAACGAATTTTACGACTTTTCCTTTAAAAAACAAAAAAATCATCGCGACCTATATAACGCGAGTTCAACGTTTATCGATTCTTTAAAAACAAGTTAAATTTAAGAAACATTCTAGGTTTAATCCTAAGTTTAAGGACGGTTTCTGGTTTAAGAAGGGTGTCTTTCAGCTCCCAAAGGTGTAATGAACCCAAGGAAACAGAAAAAAAACACTTGAATTATTTTTACGAGACACAGAAACGAGGCTGGCACAGAAACACTAGCCAGAAAACGACAAAAAAGCAGCGCTATAACAGGAAATTTAAAAAAACGGTAAAAACCCTTGACAATTTACTAACACTAGCCACAACTAAAGCAGCAACGTATGCTATTAAATCGCGAATGCGATTCAGCGAGAGTGGCAACAATTACAAATATACACAATTTGTATGTAATAATTTGGAATGTAATAAACTTGAAGGCATCCACACTAATTTTGCATGTTATAAATTGGGAAGCATAAAACCAAGTTTTGCATTTTGCAATTTTGCCAAGTTAAGTATTTCAA